GTTAGGATATCCACATTGCTCTAGAGCAGGGGTGCCCAACCTTTTTTGAACCAAGAGCTACTTTTGAAGTCGGCAATTTGCCGAGAGCTACTCGTCCAGTCTCATTATCAACAAACATAATTTTTCATCAATCCCAACTCCTCACTTCTTTAAAGTAAATAAAACAGAACGTGATGTGTCTATAGGAGACAACTTTTTATGCAAGCTGTATAAAATAAATGTGTCTCTACCTTAGTGGGACTTCTGACACTGAGAGGAGGAGGCCAGGGTCTCATAAGATGGGCAGTATGAGGTGGTTGCGAGGCGCAGGCAGGTCTCCAGATGATCATCATTCATTGTGGATCTGTTTTTGGACTTGATGATTTTCATGTGTGAAAAAGCAGACTCACACAGGTAGGTAGATCCAAAAAGTGCTGTTAAGTTCAAAGCACATCTTCGGATGTTAGGATACTTTTCTTCTGACAGCAGACTCCAGAACTCTCCATCCACGCCAGGTGATGCTCTGGATTTGATCCCAATGTCATTTTGCAGACTCAACACCTCATTTTCAACACCAGAGCTGTCCAGCTGAAACACGGACACCAATTTGGACACAATGTCATCCACATCAACATTTCCAAAAGGATAACACATGTAGCTGGTAACAGGCTCGATGGAGGAAAAGTCAGTAAATCAGCAGCAGCAGGTCTGTGTGGTCTGCTCCTGCCTCCTCCAAGTGAGCCCGGAACAACCTCCTCTGCAGACTCCTGGCCCTTATAGAGCACACAGTTTTCATGGCAACATCCATCACTTCCTTCATGTTTAAAATCTTCCCACACAGGGCCTGTTGGTGGATGATGCAGTGATAGTGCAAAATGTCTGGGAAAGCATCATTCTGCTTGCAGAGTGCAACAAATCCACTGGTGTGACCAGTCATTGCTGGAGCGCCATCAGTTGTTATAGAAATTAGTTTAAAGAGGGGCAAGTTGCTTTTATTAACAAACTCCATAAACACATTAAAAATATCTTCTCCTCTTGTGTGTCCCTTCAAAGGCAAGATGGTGAGCAGCTCCTCTTTTGCACTCATGTCTGCAAAGGCCATTCTGATAAAAACACACAGCTGGGCTACATCCACCATGTCTGTCGACTCATCAAACTGAAGAGAGAAACACTCACATTGTTCCACGTCCTTTTTTAGCTGCTCCTCCACATCCACAGCCATTCCCTCACATCGCCATGTCACTGTTTGTCTGGACAACTGCACGTCTTTAATAGCAGCTACGATCTCACTTTTCTTTTTAAAATCATGAAAAAGCGCATCTGCAGCCTCAATAAACGCTTCTTTCATAACTTGTCCATCGCTGAAAGACTTCTTATGTTGAGCCAGGATGCGGCTAACATGGTAGGAAGCTATCGTAGCAGCTTTACCTTTTGTGCTGGGCCGAGTGAAGACTGATTGCTGGGCTGCAAGCTTGTTTTTTAGCTCCCGCACTTTCTGAGTCCGTAAAGAACTTTTAAGAGGGAAATCTGTCTCAAACCGTTTGTGCATCGTCTTGAAATGCCGCTCCAAGTTACACTTTTTGGGTAAGGCAACGCTCGAATTACAGATGAGGCAAATGGACTTCGAATTAGAATAAACAAAAAAATACTCCTCCTCCCACTCTGTGTGAAAATAATAAGTTTTCGTTTGCTTGTTCGCTAGTTTTCCATCCATGTTTTCTGCGCACGACATTACTCCACTACTGAGCCTAAAGTCTCGTGAGAGCGCTGTGTCACCGCACACAAAACTCGCGAGACTATGTCTGTGAGAATACAAGTCAAGGCTTCGCTTCGCGGGCGACCGGTCGCCCGCGAGCGACTGGTTGGGCACACCAGCTCTAGAGCCTGTCTTGTGTGGGATTTCTCCTTCTGCCTGGCTCCTGGGATAGTGGGGACGCTGTCTGC